AACTTGGATTTTCTGTGCAGGAGATGCAGATTAAAATATGGAATTTGCTGTAACATCCAATTTACACAGACCCTGAGACGCATTAATGTGCATGCCTGCACCTTGTTAGCCATGGCAATTCTACTTGCAAAAGTGCAGGTCCCCTGACTAGTCTTACATTCCAGCTTCAGCATCTGTGGGTTCTTCTTGATACTGAGGAGAATCCTTGGTTTGGGAAAAAGGGTGATTATTTCACCATGAGTCATATAAAACAAGAACAGTGGTGGGATTCAAATTTTTTTACTACTGGTTCTGTGGGCGTGGCTTGGTGGGCATGGCATGGCTTGGTGGTTGTGGCATGGCTTGGTGGGTGTGGAATGGCTTGGTGGGTGTGGCATGGCTTGGTGGGTGTGGCTTGGTGGGCGTGGCAGGGGAACATTACTGCAAAATCCCCATTGTCTCCCCACCCCACTAACCTGCTTTCCATCTCCATTCTCCTGTGCAGGGCAACAAAAGAAAACCCAGCCAATCAGCTGCGACTCTGGAGGCAGATAATAGATGGGGGCAGGGCCAGTCAGAGGTGGGATTCTCCTGGTTCTCTGAACTACTAAAAATTTCCTCTACCGGTTTCCAGAACTGGTCAGAACCTGCTGAATATCACCTCTGAACAGGAACCACTCTTTGTCCAAAGCTTTCATAGAAATCTTTGGACAAGGGATCTTGATGGAGGAAAATGTAACAGTTATACAAATACAATATATCTGTTGTCTGCAATATGTTTCTCCTAAGGAAGTGGGCGCTGTTTGCCTTGAACCCAACCACTCCCTACATACTCTTAGCATATAGGGAAGGTCTGGACTGAGAAGATACCCAAAGTGAAAATACCCAAAGTGGAGATCTCAGCATTTCTTAGAAGTCCCTCATTCTGCCTGATGTCAACTGTATAGAGCAGGGGTCCCCAAACTTGGCAACTTTAAGACTTGTGAACTTCAACTTCCAGAATTCTCTGGAAGCATAGCTGGCTGGACAATTCTGGGAGTTGGAAGTCCACAAGTCTTAAAGTTGCCAAGTTTGGAGACCTCTGATATACAGCATGCACATTCTGAGCAGGAGCAGTTCAGGGTCAAGATTTGACATAATGGTAGAGGGATAATCAACAGCCCCTTCCCGTTCTTCATATCTAGAGGGGAAATTTTCTGGCACTCCCTGAATCAGTGGATTCAAAAAAGAAGCATCATAGAGGGAGGTATCCATGGGAAGTACAGTAGATAGTCAGAAGTGGAGAGTTTTGGAAGAAACCAGGTATTTTACCATAGCAATGCACAGAAGTTATCTGAATTTCCACAGAGAAAGAACTGGAACTCAGTATATTTAGGATGCCTTCGGAGAGGGTTGAAGGACAAAATTTTGTAAGATTTCAACCCTGGCATTGATATCTTGAATGGAAAGTAGGACTAGCGGGTATATGATAGCACTGTTACAATATTTGAGGGGCTGCCACAAAGAAGTGGGGGGTCAGCCTATTTTCCAATGCACCAGAAGGCAAGACAAGAAACAATGGATGGAAACTAACCAAGGAGAGAAGCAACTTAGAACTAAGGATAAATTTCCTAACAGTGACACCAATTAACCAGTGAAATCACTTGTCTTCAGAAGTTTTGGTTGGTCCATTACTGAAGGCTTTTTAGAAGAGACTAGACAGCTACTTGCGAGGCATGGTATAGGGCTGTGATGGCGAACCTATGGCATGTGTGCCACAGGTGGCATGCAGCGCCCTCTCTGTGGTCACGCGAGCCATCGCTCTAGTTAAGCTCCACCGTGCATCCGTGCGCACCTCCTGCTGGTCAGCTGGTTGTTGGGTCTCTGCTGTGCATGCTCGGGGGCAAGGTGCATGCGGGGAATGTGTGCATGTGCAGGGGTGGCACGCACATTGCATTTGGGGGGTTCGGGTGCGCGCGCTTTGGGCACTCGGTCCGGAAAAGGTTAACCATCAACTGGTATAGAGTCTCTTGCTTGAGCAGAAAGTTGGACTAGAAGTCTTCCAAAGTCCTTTCCAATTCTGTAAATTGTAAATCTTATAACTTTAATTAGATGGTTTTCTGCTTTAATTATGATAGTTTATATTTTTAAAAAGTAAATATGAGCGGTTTTGTTTGAATTTATGCCTGCAAGCCCTGTAATTTGTGTGTTGATTTTGATAAAGCCGGACATTACGGAAACCTGAAAAAATGAAATAGCTGCTTTAATGAATAGCACAGAGGCTCTGGTCTTATGTAGTCAAAATATTTTTTCTATTAAAATTTTTAACTATATACAGTCATAAGAGCTTTAACCTATGGTGTATAACATAACAATAGAATGTCACAATTTAATATCGTTTAAAAGAAAAACCCATTTTAAGTAGACTTACAAGTTGACAGTATCTAGTCAATTGTTGTCTGACTTAGCTGCTTAGTGCTTGTATCTATTCTAAATCTATTTTTACAGAAGAAAAAGCTATCTAAATATTTTGGTTCATTATTGCCTAGATACCTATTATGTGAGTCTAAGAACAAAATTAAACTTTAATTACACTCATGTAATTAAAGTTTAATTTTAATTTCATTTTTTTAAAATGAAATAGCATGCTTAATTGCTCATAGCCATGGCAGAAATTAAAAAGTGGTCCTTCTCTCACCCACCTTTGCTTCTGAAGAAGAAAAACAATTTCATGGTTTAAATTTAGATTTGAGCAAAATAACACTTCACTTTAGGATAGTTGCATACAGTCTGCTTATTTAATCCAATTACATTTCCTTGAGTAGATATTTATCCTGCCAATATCAGTTTACATTATTTGTTACACATATTAATAGTTCTCTAAAACAAATTTGGAGATACTCTAAAACAAATTTAGGCTACTTCTTTATTAGAAATGCAAGAATCACCACTGAGGAAGAAATTGCAGCAGTAGTATATATCCCTAGAAATCAAGAATGGCAGAGGGATAATACACCATGAAAATCTAGCCGTGGTTTTATTGTTTTTATCTAGGCAGTAAAGCTTATGATAAAATATAGATTGTAAAAATGCAAATGAGAATAATTAGCATGTAGTCTAATAATTCTTGAAGGCACCAAATCGGAGAAGAGTTCAAATTGATGCTTTGTTCTAAAGGAGAAATTTCTACCTGCAGGAATGTGTAAGTCCATGAAAATGTATTCCTCTTTGTTTTAATACCCATAGTCGGAAATATTATGTTACCATAATACACTTTACAAATAGGTTATTCAACGTTATTATATATCAAAGAAATTATGAATTATGTGTTTTGAAAAAGAACACCTACAGGTGAAACTGAAAAATTTAGAATATCATGCAAAAGTTCATTTATTTCAGTAATGAAACTTAAAAGGTGAAACTAATATATGAGATAGACTCATTACATGCAAAGCAAGATAGTTCAAGCCATGATTTGTTCAAGCCATAATTGTGATGATTATGGCTTACAGCTCATGAAAACCCCAAATCCACAATCTCAGAAAATTAGAATATTACATGCAATCAATAAAACAAGGATTGTATATAGATCAATGTCAGACCTCTGAAAAGTATAAGTATGCACTCAGTACTTGGTTAGGGCCATTTTTGCAGCAATTACTGCCTCAATGCAGCATGGCATGGAAGCTATCAGCCTGTGGCACTGCTGAGGTGTTATGGAAGACCAGGATGCTTCAATAGCAGCCTCAGTTCTTCTGCATTGTTCAGTCTCATGTCTCTCATCCTTCTCTTGGCAATGCCCCATAGATTCTCTATGGGGTTCAGGTCAGGCGAGTTTGCTGGTCAATGAAGCACAGTAATCCCATGGTCATTGAACCAGGTTTTGGTGCTTTTGGCAGTGTGGGCAGGTGCCAAGTCCTGCTGGAAAATGAAGTCAGCATCCCCATAAGGCTCGTCTGCGGAAGGAAGCATGAAGTGCTCCAAAATCTCCTGGTAGACGGCTGCGTTGACCCTGGACTTAATGAAGCACAGTGGACCAACACCAGCAGATGACATGGCTCCCCAAATCAACACAGACTGTGGAAACTTCACACTGGACTTCAAGCATCTTGCAGTGTGTGCCTTTTCATTCTTCTTCTAGACTCTGGGTCCTTGGTTTCCAAATGAGATGCAAAAGTTGCTCTCATCAGAAAAGAGGACTTTGGACCACTGAGCAACAGACCAGTTCTGTTTTTCTTTAGCCCAAGTAAGAACTTCTGATGTTGTTTGTTGTTCAGGAGCGGCTTGACAAGAGGAATACGACATTTGAAGCCCATGTCCAGGATCCGTCTGTGTGTGGTAGCTCTTGATGCACTGACTCCAGCCTCTGTCCACTCCTTGTGAAAGTCCCAACACTTTTGAATGGCCTTTTCCTGACAATCCTCTCCAGGCTGCGGTCATTCCTGTTGCTTGTGCACCTTTTTCTCCCACACTTTTCCCTTCCACATAACTTTCTCTTAATGTGCTTTGATACAGCACTTTGGGAACATCCAACTTCTTTTGCAACTACCTTTTGAGGCTTTCCCTTCTTATGGAGGGTGTCAATGATGGTTTTCAGCACAACTGTCAGGTCAGCGGTCTTTCCCATGATTGTGATTCCTACTGAACCAGACTGAGAAACCATTTAAAGGCTCAGGAACCCTTTGCAGGTGTTATGGCTTAATTAGCTGATTAAAATGGGACACTTTGAGCCTAGAATATTGAACTTTTTCACAATATTTGAGGTTTTCATGAGCTGTAAGCCATAATCATCACAATTATGACAAATCACGGCTTGAACTATCTTTGCTTTGCATGTAATGAGTCTATCTCATATATTAGGTTCACCTTTTAAGTTGCATTACTGAAATAAATGAACTTTTGCATGATATTCTAATTTTTCGAGTTTCACCTGTATAGTTTGTACTAAGAGTGACAGTTATTTGCTTTGCAACTCATTGCAGAAAAAAATGATATGAGCTACTTTCTTTGAAGTCTTGTAAACCCATTTTTCCACTTTGCAGTGGGAGAAACTGCAGATGACAACAAGTGAAAGAAGAAAAATAGTTTGCTCAGTCACATTCCACATTATTGCTATTACCTGTGTAGTTTGGTCATTGTACGTATTGATAGATCGGACTGCTGAGGAAATTAAGCAAGGCAATGACAATGGTGAGTATTGATAATTTCCTACTTTCACATTGTGCTACTTGCAGAATCACTAGAAATGTATTTCGCTAAGTACACACATTGAAAACATAATAGTGGGTTTTATTTGCGTATCCTTTCTATAAAGATTGATTACTTAATATAATCAGTTCTTGAGCTACATAATTTTAATGATCGTATAAACATTTCCTTATCATATGTTCCCTCTTTTCACAGAATCCAACACTTTAAGAATATCCCTTTTATTTTCAGGAAACCAAATCATTACCTCTTATAGCCCAAATAAGTAGTTGCAAACAGGTATTTAATGATTCCTGCAGATAGTGTTTCCAGGAGATTAATTCCAGAACGCTGTGAATAGAAAAAGTTACATGTTTCCTTCAAGTTGATTTCCTGATTGTTTCATGTCCATAAAGTTTTCCTGGCAAGAGTTAGAAGTAATTTGCCATTGACTTCATCCAGGATTTGTTTTCCTCAAGACCTACTATTCCCTGGTGGCTTCTTATCTAAGGCTAACCTGGCCTAACCTTGCTGTATATCAATACAAAGTCGGACAACTTCTGCCATCAGCTGAGATCAAGGATGGAAAGTTGCAAGAGAAATCAAAATAGAAATAATAAATCAATAATCCTATATAGTTCCCAACCACAAATATAGTAACAGAATCATGCAATGCAAATATTATCCTGTGTGTTTCATGCAAACACTGAAACCAGAAAGATTCTGTGCTTTCTGTACTATTTGCAGAATCAAATGTTATTTTGCCTCTGCACACAATACTTGCCACAGGAAAATATAGCTTCTATAGAAAGCACTCTAAATACTGCTTAGGACAGTATATGCACCTGCCATTATTTGCTTTATTGAATAAAACAATCCTATAGATATAGATATCTAATCAGTGACAGGTATACAACTGAACTAGATCATCTTGCTTCTATCAGTTTGTTTTCTGTAGATTAAGGTATCGTGTGAACACAGCTTGTTTGGTCCTTTAGTGTGTTGAGCAAAGCTCAAAAAATAGTTTAGTGGTCTTAGATTGTACAAATTCAACTATTACATTCAAATGTACATGTTTATTTATTTGTTAAACTTATTTGTCTCCTGTCTCGCCATGGGCTTATTCATAATAGGCATCTCAGAATAATAAAAAGGAAGAAAAATTGAGTGTAGATAGAAGTAAAATAATAGAAAAATAAAATAAACAATAACAAAGGAATCCAACTAGAATAAATACATCAATATGTTCCTCTGTATATAACTGGAGTCTTAAAAAGCTCAAATTATTCTGAAAAGAATTCCTTTTTTCTTGTTTTTCACTCTGTTCTTATTTATATATTTTTCACTAATAAAACCAAGCATATGATCTTCATTTTAAAAGGTGCACTTTTTCTTCTTTAATGATCCATGTGCCAAATAAATGGTGCGTGGCATTTTTAAAAATGTCAGGAAAAAACCTTCAGTGATAGATTAACAATGACAGTTCAAAGTATATAGGCAAATCTGAGTTCAAAATAATATTCTTGCTTAAGGAAACATCTTTTGATTCTAAAAGTTTATTAAAAAGTTCAAATGCAAAATAATTTATAGGTGTATATAATGAACCCACACTGGCTTTCTATTATCACTAGAAATAATGTTATTTGTCCTTTTGACTGCTTCAAAAGTAGAAACTTGTACATTTTCAGTTGACCTGATAAGATGAAGTTTTGTTTCCTTTCCTCTTGATCCATTCATTTGTTTGTTTTGGAACTCAGTTAGCTCTTCACTCTATACAACAATCAAATCCCCTTAAATCATTTCTTTTGCACCACTGAATCACTTTGTATTCAGTCTACATTCATTCTTGATTATTTTTATTGCAACACTTAAGTCATCGATTCAAAACTGGTATTCAGCAGGTTCTGACCAGTTCTGGAGAACCGGTAGCGGAAATTTTGAGTAGTTCGGAGAACCGGCAAATTACCACCTCTGACTGGAGATTTTACAGTATCCTTCCCCTGCTATGCCCACCAAGCCACACCCACAGAACCGGTAGTAAAAAAAATTGAATCCCACTACTGCATCAATTCCTGCTATAGGTAGCCAACTTGCAGACTTTCCTTCTCCAGCTCTCATTTCCTTATAACAAAGTCGACAGAAGCTTTTGCAAACCATTTCACTGTAACCGACTATACACTTACTATACTTAGACTATACTTATTATACCAGCATTGAATTAAAATTTCTCATCTTGGGTAAGCATTCCACAAGGTGCATAAATGATTTTTTTAAAAAAACTGGAGCAAGTGCTAGAAGTAGAATATATGCATAATTTACAATCATTCATCCAATTTTTCTTCTCATCTTAGATTGCCTTGATCTTTCATACATTGACCGCCAGATACATGTTCCATTTTGTATCACAACATTCATTGTAAATTGTTCAGGTTCACAGCATGAAATATGGCATCTTAGGAATGTAAAGGTAGAGACACATTCACTGCAAGCATTTTGTAAGAAATTAATCCATAAAAAGTAGTAAACAATCAAACACACAACTTGTTTTCAGTCTTGAATCAAACCATACTAAGTGTATCATTTATTCTCAGATATGCTTTGTTTCTATTGTATAACAGTTCTACCACATTCAGTAATCAACATCTTAATTTATATCTACGTAGAACATTGTGTAATTTAAGCATACTAAATCTAGCCAATCATAAATGTTTTCTCACATTCAGACATTTTTCAGTGACTGCTAAAAAGCAAAAAATCTGCACATGAGCACCCTAAAATAAACCTGCACTGCGCTTCCCAAATGCTGTTCCTCCTTGCCTCTTGTATTATTTCAAACAGAATTCTGCCAAACTCCTTGCCAGGTACACTTAAGAAATTGTGCATTCATTCAAGTCAAGTATTCCTTTTGACAGGTGCATAGGCAGTTGTCACAAGCACTTAGCAAATCTTACACACACTCCATAAGCAGACCACATTTGAACAGTTGTACAGTGACAATTCATTTCTGCAGATTCTCAGCAGCTCTTCTTTGTCACCCATTCTCTCATTTCATCAGAAGCAATCAAATTGATGTATATATATAATACACAGAGAGAGAGGGAGGGAGGGAGAACAGGGCAGGTTTTTCACAAAACAAATAAAATTCTTACTCATTCCTGGGTCTCAATATTCTCCCATTGTGTTTATGTCACCTAACAAAAATAGTGTTCTGACCAAGGCTTCCTGAGACAGTAACAATCACACCCTGTTCCCAAAACTCTTTTTTTCCCATTTCAACTGTGAATTATATGCATTCACAGCCCGTAATGAGTCCCAAACAGTTTGTAATAGTCCCATGGAAGTCTGCCAAAGTCCTTCAGGATAAGTCTGATAAGCACACACCTTTATCTTCCTTGAAATGCTGCCAGTACTAAATTGCCAATTATCTATACAAGGCCAAACAGAGCACAAAGTCAACATGGAGCTTTAGATTTTTAAACCGACCAGAACAAACAAAGTTGCTTCCTGCAAAGGCTCATGTCCCTTTGCTCCTCCTTTATGTCTTATGGGAGGGGCCAATCATCTTCAAGCCTTACTCCCGAGTCGCCCCTTTTGTCTTAACTGTTCTTGCCTTCTGGCAGCTCTGCGCAAGCACACACTAGGAACAGGCTCCCCCTGTTCCTCTGCCTCGCTGATGTCAGATTTTGGAGGCCCTGGAGTCAGCACATAACTTTCAGATGGCCCTGGCCCCATCACTGTGTTGGACGCAGATCCCTCATCCAGACTCCAGGACTGTTCCTCCCCACTGTTCGACTCTGCTGCCAGCTCCGCAGGCCACCAGCGGACCATAACAAATAGTATGTTTAATACCATTAATTGGAACTTGATAGCCACTAATTGCTCCTTTAATTATATGCATGAAACAACCGCCTGATTGCTAATTCAAATTGTTTAAGCTATATTTTAGGCCTTTTTTCCATATCCATCATTTTCCCTTGTATATATTTGGTCTCTGTCAAAGTTCTGTTCCTCCTTTTCATTTTTTAATTCATTTTCTTTACTAATTACGCCTCTCATATTCCAAGTTATAATTTTTTATATGCAATGGCTCTTACCTGACAGCTCCACAGATACTGATTTTCCCAATCTTGGCTTTGGCCAGTATGGGTTTCATTCTCTTACCACTTTCCAGGACCATAGGAAAAGCATAAAGTTGATTAGAACTTTTAGTTGCATCTATGCAGTATGGAGTTTTTTTTTTCAATTCTGTTTTTTTTTTTTTTATTCAAAAGAAAGTTAAAATACAAAACTCCCAAATAAATAAAGAAAAAAGAAAAAGAAAACATAACAAGACATTTAAAAAGTGTATCAAAAAGGGGGGGAAAGCCAACATGTATACACTTGTAATCCCCCCTAATACTGACACTACTATAATATTAGTTCACACCTCTTGCAAAATCGATCTCCCCCCAAATTTTTTAAACTAGTACATCTATTTGCAAATTATTGACCTGTTTTTTATATACTATATTAATGACGAAATAGTTAACAGGAACAATAATTATAATAAAAAATATAAGACTAAGGTTTCAAGACTCTGTTAACAAACTGTTATTGTAATCCACTTGTAGGAAGTTTACCACAGCATTTTATCTAACACAAATTGTTCTAAAAGTTAAAAGTAATTTATCCTGGATCAAATTTCCATGTTTGTTTCTTAATGCCATCTCTTATCAATTGTTGTTTAATTAAATATAATAGATTCAGTCTAAACAGTGGGTTTATCTTCCAAACAAATATAATTGATTTCTAGTTAAGTGTGATAAATCCATTCTCCAATTTCCCCTCAGTCTTTGCAGAAAAATAGAATTGTCCCTTTTCCATTTGGTCAGATTTCTAGTATTGTAAGGATATGCAGGCTTGAAATTCAAAGAGACAGATGTGTTCAACTCAGTTCTCTGGCAGTGGAGATATCTTTTTGGTCTGCAACTTTCAGATCAGAGTCCTTTTGTGAATCTTTATCCAAAATTACATGCCTCTACACTAGAGGTAGGATTCAATTTTTTTTTACTACCGGTTCTGTGGGTGTGGCTTGGTGCGCGTGACTTTTAAGAGCAAAAAGTGAAGTAAAATAATCAATTCAAAAAGATCCGAAAAACTGGAATCTTCAAGATTCTCCTTCTCAAATGGGTCCAAAAGTCATCCTGTGTCATTCTTGAGTGCTCCCATTCAAATCCAGGGGACAGCATTTCCAGAGAACCAGCTTTAGCAGCAAAAAAAGAGCAAATCGTTGGTAATAGATTTTTTTCTGCAGTCATCATGGGAAGAAGTCAGTCACAGTCTGGAGTATTTCTTAATGTCAAGAACAACTCTTGCCATTAAAAAAATAGTTCCATTACAATAGCCACAGGAACAATCAAAGCCCAGCTTTGCCCTGAGCGTGGAAACTAGGATCACCGACTCAGATTATTTTGCAAAGCAACATACAGTTGCCCTTAGCTCATCCAAAGGGAGAAACATGCTGTGAACATACAGAAATATAGTCAGGATGCATATTTTCTGTATTCATATTAAGTCTTTTAATCTCTTCTACTTCAACAGCAAAGCTTTTTCCATGTTTAAACAAAATGGACTGAAGAAACTTAATTTTACAAAGGGTTGCTAACTACATAGCCGCCATAGTCTTGACATAACTACCATTTGTTGACAGTTAGAAGTTATGACTGTGCTGAGTGGTAATTAAGACAGGTTCTCAGTTACAGCCATTGCCATATCCCCATGGTCCCATGATCAAAATTTGGGCACTTGGCAGTCTGCCTGAATTTATGATAGCATGTTACGCTTCATTCCCAACATCTACCTATCTCCCCCACGTTATTTCGTCTGCCCTGCATTCTGCTGCTTCCCACCTCTGCCACCCCCAGCTGCCTTAATCATCTTCTTCCCACTGGTGACAAGAGGTGTCTGTGCCAAGGCAAGGAAGGTCTTGGCTCAGCATCGTGGAGGCCTCATGCAACCTTGAAAAGAGACACCTAGGCACACCTAGAAATGGGAGGAAGATGGTAAGCGTTAACTGGGGTGAAAGTTAGATGGTGTGGGATGGCAAGAGTAGCTGTCAGAGGAAGAGTTCAAGGAAACAAAAAAGCAGAGATGGGGGAGTGTGGGAGAACTGAAGTGGAGATGAATGTGCTCAAGAGAAGCATGAGGTCCTTGCCTAACAACCGCAGCTGGAATTACCAGAACTACCATTGTTACATGATGCAGTCACAAGAACCTTCACCTAAGTACCACTTCATTTATCAGTGAAAATTCTTATCTTGAATGAGGTCATTGAGGGCTACCTATAAGAGATAACATTTGTCTTTATATGAAAAAAAAAGTGTGCTTCTGAACCACTCAGCAAATGAAGATGGTTGAATAGTCCTGACCAATTTAACATTAATCTCTTTCTCTCTCTCTTTCTCTCTCTGTCTCATGGAAAGGAGTCCTAGAATGGCCATTTTGGACAAAGTTGGTTGTGGTAGCCATTGGATTCACTGGAGGCCTTGTCTTCATGTACGTGCAGTGTAAAGTCTACATTCAGTTATGGCGAAGGCTGAAGGCTTATAACCGTGTGATATTTGTTCAGAACTGTCCAGATACTGCCAAAAAACTGGAAGAGAAAAATTCTTCCACCATTCAGAACACTGAAATTAAAGATACTGTTGTGGTTCCAGTTTCACAGACAGAGACGAACTGTCAGCAAACAGAAGAAACTATTTCTGATGTCATGCCAGTTTGATGGAAGTAGCATTTCTTTGGGAAATAAAGTGAAATGTTTCTGTTAGCTACAGGAAAAAAGATAATCAAATCCAGAGAGTATATTTGAAAAAAAAGAACGAACATAAAAAAAATAGAAAGGAAAATTGATAAGAAGCTGCACATTACCTCTGAAATGTAACAGAAATGTTTTTTCCACCTTTCTTGCTAAGTACAGTTAAAAGTGGAAGTGAAGAAGATAGAAAAGCAAAACTTCTAACAAAGAACATGCCAACACTACTATTGATGGCTTAAAAGAACTGCATTTGCAGAACTTCTACTTATGTTCTGTTTACAAGAAAAAAAAACTTTGTGTATTTGCTACTATGGTCTTTTTGCTAATTATTGTAAACTGGGTGGGGGGGAGAGATCAAAGCAAATTTTTAAGGTTCTTATAAAGGTATGCATCGAAGCACAAATTATCTGTTTGATAATGTGATACTTAAGGTGATTACCCTATAACATTTCTGTAAAAACAACCACTTATTACGTAATAATGGGTTTTGAGTATTTGTAAAGTAGAATATTAGAAATATTTTTCTTGGTTAACAATAGACCCAGAAATAATTAACAGCAAACTCCCTGACAAATTGCTACATTCATCTGGAGCAGCAACTTAGTTTGTAATTATTCCTATATAGTAGATTAAGATAATTTCTTGGCCATCTGTACGATTCTTCTTCGAAAGGGTAATTCATTAAATCGGAGTATTAGGATACCAGAGTACTTTTGTTAACAAAAGGCTTTACAATTTCCAGTATCTATTTATTAGGGTGAGAAATATGCAAAAAAAAAAAAAAAAAAACCCACCCAAAAGTTACAGCCCAATGCTGTTTTAAAGATAAAGATAGCTTTGAAAAAGTCAATGTGGAAAGCCTTCACGTTATGACAATATTTCTTCAGTGTGAACTTAATTGACAATGTATATGCAGTAACTTCTAAACAAGAAAGAATTTAACAGTTAAGGATTCAGTAGTTCATTTGGTACTTATTATTTTAATATATTAATATAAAATGAGGTATGATTAAATGAGATACTTAAATTTCTATCAATGTAAGAATGCAACCTGCAGGGACCCAATGAAGTTGGCATCCCATTTCGGAAGTATTTACCCAGAAGGTTTAAAGAAAGTAAGATATTTACAGAAAAATAAGTATCTTATTTCTATCACTGTTATGCTTGTGATTGTATTGTGAGTTGTGCCCAAGTAACGTGAGTTAAAGAAGAAAACAGTAATAAGGGGAGCTTATGGTGAAAAACTGCAATTGGTTATTTCTAAAAGAATTATAATTCATGCTGCAATTTTTTTAAAAAAAGAGTAAAGTCTTTGTCCTGAGATGATTATATTTGTTTGTTCCATTGAGAAATTGCAAAAGCAGTTAACTTCATTAAGATAAATGGGTATTTTCTCACTGATGTAAGTCGGAGTTACCATTGTCAGAAATCTAGAGTATTAACCATAAAGTTAATATTATACAATATGATAGATATGACAAGAATTATGATGCTGGAAAGCTTTCTGAAATGAAAACTGAATAACTCTATTTCAGATAAAAGAAAAAAAATGACGTTATAGTATTTTGTGGTGTTTGGACGATCCCATAATTTAATGCAGATAATGGGACAGAAAGTCAGGCCACAAGCTGAAATCAAATTCAAAACTGAATGGTTTGCATTTTTTTTTCTAACCAAGATCAAGGATTATAGTTTGGGTTATATTTATAATTTGGAGTGGATGCTCCTTCTCCAACTATAAATATCTATAAATGTGACTATGCTTTGCATAGAAGATCACTATGGCATTAAAAGCTGAGAACTGAACTTATATGCAACAAAAATGCACTTTCAGAGTAATACTGCAATGTGAATTTCTTATCATTCTACTCAATGTTTGTCAGTTCAGGCAGTCAGCTGCCCAACTGCATATTTTGCAGAGACCATACAATGGCGCCCACACAGAGCAACATGGTGTAAAAGGATTTTCATGCATGTGACAAAAGGTAAATGGCTGGTTATTCATATATTCAGTGCAAGTAAAATACTAGATTCATAGAAATGTTGGCATGTTTATATAGCATGATGCACTGGGAGAAAAGGTCTACATCAGGGGTGTCCAACCTTGGCAACTTTAAGACTTCTGGACTTCAACTCCCAGAATTCCTCAGCCAGCTAGGAATTCTGGGAGTTGAAGTCCAGAAGTCTTAAAGTTGCCAAGGTTGGACACCCTTGGTCTACATGATTCCCATACCAAGATTTAGAACTTATCATTATGCCAGCCACAGTTTTAAACCAAGATTTGTTTTGGCTTAATTCCATAGAATTTAGGGAATTATGCTATTTTTAAAACCTGATTCACATGGAAACAGGTATGAAAAAACAGCTTTCAGTTGTATTTAAAAATATATATTTGTACCACAATTTGCAATGTGCCATCTTTGATGCTGTCTTTTATGAGTACCAGTTAAAGTGTATTACAGACACCAGAAAAAATGTGGAATTATTTCATCCGTTAAGGAAAAAAAAAAACAATTTTTTAAAATTCCATTTTTTTTGTTTGGTTGTTTGATTCTTAGGCAGCATTCGATTCCAAATCATCCTGCTAGCTATAAATCTAAAATACTATTAGTATAATTGCTACAGGTGGACAGCAGACAATAGCAAAGGTCAGTATTGGATTGTTGCACAGATCCCCATTTACCTGAAAATTATCTTTCAGTTTCTGAAAACTGCACTGCAATCTATGATGCAAATATTTTATTATACAGTATATAATCATTGGAATTGCAAGTTTGTTCCTTGTTTTACCCAGTTCTCTTTTGTGGGTAATTTGTGTATTAAAAAGGTTCGGGAGGGCGAGAAGAAAACTAATTGTTGTGGAATAAATTTGTATTTGTAATAAACAGATGACTCTTAAGTGGCTATAAATTATTTCTTTTTTGATAGAAACTAATCATGTTTTTATTATATATTTATCCTATGTATTTTGTGTTTCCAGTCTGAAGAATTTCAGAACTCCAGTCTGAAGTTTCAAACTTGAGGAAGATATCATTGCCTTATCAAATGCCCTGAGAAGCAGTCTCAGTGCTTTGGATGACATTTAAGTGAGAAACGGCCTGGTTAAAACCAAATGTAGTCCAGTCCTTTTCCTGAGCAAATGTTCAACTCAAGAAGAAAAAAATCAGGATTGCATTCTCTTTCCCCGCTCCTCAGGAATGTAGTTTAATGTCATCTCAGTAGCCTGAATATGTGCATCAAGATCCGATTTATAAATCAATGTTAAGGAACTTTGTTTTGAAAACAGATCAGTCCCAAAGTAGAAAGCCCACTAGTAGAATCTCTGAAGCCAAACTGAAATCAAGTTATTTGCTTATCCAAAAATTAGTAATTTTGAATTATGAAAATATTACAACTTACCACATGGAATATTGTACAATTAAGGAACCCAAGGGTCAAATCCAAGAAAGAAGGCATCTTGAATAGGCTAATCGGTATGCTTTGTTCAATACAGTATAGCCCATATTTTAACTCTTTCCAATCTTATTTTAAAGCCTGTATTTTATTCTTTCCAATTCAACACAATATTATAAATAAATTAGAGACTGGAACACACAATTATGTACCTATGTATGCTTAGCAGGAAAGCTTTTTGTAAAAAGAGCTAATGTTAAGAGAATGGGGAAACAGTTCCTCCCATTATTTTTACTGTTTTGAAGAATTCAAGGGGAGGGGGGAAAGGTATCTTAAGCTTTATATAGAGTCCTTAATAGTAACTCCTCCAAAATTAGACCACATTTCTTAAGCCCAACCTCTCAAGTGATATTATGCACTATGCTTCCAATCTACAGCTTCAGGAAGGAATAATGCCAGAATGCACTGTTAAAATTTTTAATGTAGACATTTAAAAATGTTGCTACATTTTTGGAATATGGGATATGGGAAGATGCATTTAAGTTCACCTCTAAAAATACTTTGCTCCTATTGTAATGACAATCAGATCGATACTTTTCTCTTGAAGAACAACAGGGGAAAGGTAGTAGGTGAGGTGGAAGATAAAAATCGGACGTTTGCTTCGTGAGCTTTAAATCTGTTGTTTTGTTGCATTTTAGGACTCATTAGAATGATTAATTTAGACTAATCAGAATGTGGCTCTATCAATGAAACATCAAGTATTTTTATGACCTTTATACACATTGCACTATATATTTTTTAAAAAAGACAATGCAATATTATAAACTGTAGTGGTCAGAACTGCAGGTAATCATGGTTGATTGAAAGAGGTTTCTTGCTTCTTGCTGCCACAGACAATCAAAATACTGGTTTGCCAATCTGTTTCAGATATCCCAGCAATTTCTCTTTAGTCCACATCCTGTGCTGCAAGCAATTCATTTCCAGCTTCAATGTTTGCCTTCTCCATTCTACCACTACAGAGATCTTTACTGGATAACTTTCTCATTTTAATATTTGGTAGCTTCTTCAGGTCTCCATCCCAGTCTCTGGTAGAAATGGAAGAAAAAGGACAAGCATTAGGTGATGGAAACTATAATATTTATGTTGGTGATCAATCATTGCTCCTAATTAAAACATTTTTACGTTAATTAGAGTTAATAACTCACCTGAAATATCGAAGATGTTTACAGTTTACAATGTCAGGGATTTCTGTGGAAAGAAATTGAATCTAGATCAACCAATAGATTAAGGAACTTTTGTTATTGTAGTTGAAAGAGACTAACTCATCTCTTTATTTTGCTTATTTTAGAAATTAAAACTGATAGATCAAAATATCTTATTTCAAATGTACAGGATACCCCAAAGAATACATTCAAAAGGATGGAATTGGATTTACTTAGTTAGCAATGTAAAAAAAAAAAACCTGATAAGTATTTATTCATGTGATTTGGTCTTCTGAATCTTTGAAATAATTTTGGAATAATATTTTAATGTGCAGATTCATAGGAATTATTTATGTGTTAAAGATATTAGTATGTTAAATTATATCCCCAAACTTTGGCATGTGACTGATGTATTGTGGTTGTATCATGCCATCAGTGCTAATTGTTCTGAGGATTTGGAAAAATAGTGCTACAGGTAGTCTCAAT